TCTGTCTTAGCTGAGGGGGGGAGAGAGAAGATGGCTGAGGAGAGGATGGAAGGGAGCTGCAGGAGAGAGAGATAAACCTGAGAGCGATCTACTGACATGGGGGGGGGGGAGAGAGGGGGGGATGGGAGGTGGAGGAAGAGAAGAAGGCGTTTGGAAGCGGAGGCTGAGAGGGGGGTGTTAGGGGATGGGGCAGGAGAGGGTAGTGTTGGAGAACTCGGAGAGATGGAGCATCACGAGAAGGGGAGAGGAGAGAGAAGGGAGAGGAGAGGAGAGAGAAGGGAGAGGAGAGGAGAGAGAAGGGAGAGGAGAGAGGGGTGAGGCGAGGAGAGGAGAAGAGAGGAGAGGAGAGAGGAGAGAGAGAGGGGGAAAAGAAGATACCTATGCCCTTTAGTTTTTCCTTCTTTACAAAACAAAAATTGTGGCTTTGCCAGCTTGTCTTATTCCTACAAAATAAATAAATTAAACCTGTGAAAATTGAATTTATTTTCATTCAATCCCCTCCTCCTCAAGAGTATACAGAAAACATTCCTGTGAAGTGAAGATGACATAGGGAATGGGAAGCAAGAAAATGGAAGATGAAAAAAGGAACTCCCAACAGTCTTCTCTCTACCTCCCTGACAAAACATGTACCAACCCACCTCAATGGGTAAATAATATGTGAGTAAATAATAATAAGAGAAAATGAAATTGAGACTATAGCTTGTGTCCTTATAGGCAATGCAATTCATCAAGTTATTAAAACTATTTTTTTCCAAATTCATACAAATGTTATACTGTACAATAAATTGTAGTAATAGTGCAATCACAAAAATTTGATTCTACATTGAAATACAAATAGGATTATTGGTGTTTACCTTAAGAATTTCTGTGAAACCATAGTTGCCTTCCATTATAACTTTCTTCTCTGCTTCTAATATTGCAGCACAGATAAGCAAGTGAAAATTCGTACACGGTAAATCTGTCCACAAAACCTACATGAAATTGAATGAAAATTAGTAAAATGTTGCTATTGTTTTTTAGCACTCACGCATGGAAATTATTTTTTATCTTCATTGTTAATTGATTGGAAAGTGGTACTTTGTAGTTTAAGTATAGCAAAATTGACTTTGCCATACATACACTGCAAGGAACTTTTGACCATATAAAACTACTGGGCACTACAAAGTAAGAAAACACTGGCGCAATACAAATCAATATAGTTGCAGTCTCTCAAATTAAGAATGATCCCAAGATAATATACTTGTAAGTTAAATGATTTGTACTAAAAATGAATGTACATAACTTGTATATGTATGAAGTGTATATGTTACACTCCTTTCTAAGTGCTGGACTCTGTTCCTATTGTCAACTCATCAATCAACATTTCATTACTATCTCAGACTCACTCTCTGTACTAGTAACTAATTATTTCAAAATCATTCTGAACGTCAATCAGAGCTATTTGGACAATATAGAAAATGGTTCTCCACATTTTTAACAAAAATAAAAATATTTGTGTAGTGTTTTTTAAAAAACCATTAACTTAGTTTTCAAATTTCAAGTGAGTCTTAAATAACACCAGTGGAACAACATTGCAACTTGCAATTTATACTTGCTCAGTACTTGGAGGTCTTGGTGCAAAAATTAGACATCTCACAACAAAAGGTGTCTTTTATGGTAAATACATATTCAAAACCAAAAAATGGCACTGTGATACTGTTGAAAATCAAAGAATGTAACTACTACTGAAGAATATGTGACTAAGTCATTGATGTTAAAGTTGTAATGAACTATTAATCATTTGAAAATAATTATTTTTTTAGCTTTTCCTTAATAGATGTTCCTCACAGGTTTCTCTTTTGTACGATTTCATTCTTTGAGTATAAACTAAGACTGCTCCGGCTACCTCTTGCCTTTCAAAATCAAAGATTTTAAAATCACTTTCAATGAAAAGCTTTTGAACTAGAACTAAAAGAATACCTTTCAACCTTGAAATAATTTTTGAAAATGGATTTAATCCCATAATACACAGCTACACTTCTTACGAAATTCTGCAGCCCTAATACCTAATTACTTTTCAAAACTTCTACAGTTCATATCTTACCTCCCAAAGCTTCATAACATCAGCTTGTGAGAATTCTCTCTTGAATAAAACAAGAAGCCAACGAAAACAAAAAAACATGTTGCCCGAATCATGATGTCTAATATAAGAAGTCAATTCAGGATTCACAACACTCAAAAGAGTTTGCAATTCATTTAATTGACACTTGATCCCGGACTGATCCAGATCAAAATTCCTGTACTGAAACAAATGAAAAATGCACAAATGCAGAAGGAAATTTTACAGACTTAAACATAGTCTTTCACGGTTGGAGTCAATAGACACTTGACTGTCTGGGAGACTCCACATCCTAGGAACAATAGCCAATGTTGCAGTTGACATATTACGACCTTCCTTATGGTAATATTCACAAGGCATTTTGCCATGAACGTTGCAGTGTGATGATCAAAACATTGGCAACTGTGCCTAGGTCGTGACAACACCTGGAGTGTTAAGCATTCGTTCACACAATTACTTTACTTTACAAGATTGAAAATTCATAAATACCATAGGAGATGAGGAGGAGGGAAAGGAAAGGTGATAGAGAAAGAGAAACACAAGGTGGAAGTAGAACAAACAGAAAATGAAGTCAAAGAACAATAATGAAGAGAATGATAATTGATGTAGTTTAGGGGTACTTTGATTTCTGTAAATTGGTGTACATGTCAAATTAGAAGAATACTGAATCAAGGGCAAACGTCAGAAAAAATTATTTTCAAACTAAGCAAAATACATTAAAAAGAAAGTAACAATATAGTCATAGAGTGTGTAAGGTAAAATAATATAATGATACAATCTTCTCATCCCTCAAATGAAATTGAAGAGTATTTTCTCAAAGAAAAATGAAAGTATACACAACTTGTCAAAGTTAAGCAGGTCTTTTACAGAACAAACAAGGCAATGCCTACAATGGGTTGTTTTTGAATTTTTGGAGTTCATTATCTATTGAGATGAGGAACTGATACTTCAGAGAAGTCCCTGCGAAAAATGCAGTGTCTGCTGGGTAGGCATGTTGCAATGATTTCCTCATACATAGCACTATGAGAGGGAAGCCATAAGTGCATTTTTTTGTTGTTTTAATTAAATTACAAAATCCATCAATTTATGCCACTTACAAGACTATAGATAAATACAAAAGAAATTGCATAAAGATCATAATCTTAACAATAAACAAAACCATTCACAGTTATCAGTAACTCAGAGAAAGAATGGCAAATAAATTACATTCAGCCCTACCAATAAAGTTTATTCTGTGCTTAAACCCAGAACAGTCAAAAACTCCCACCAATAAACATGGACTAACTCGTAAGAGCTGTAAGAGCAAGTTTCCGTGGCAACTGCTAAACCTAGGAGACACATAGTTTAAGTAAGGAATAACCTGGGAATAAACTAGAAATGCAAAAACAGGCGAATAAAAACGAACTGCTGGTGTGTTTCGCTTCATTCTATTTGCAATTTTCAATTTGACTGTACTTTCTTTTCTAGTGTTTTCTGGAATCTTTGGCAACCTACTTTATTTCGTGAATTCTTAATTTGTCGTATTTTTGGCATTGGAAACTTCGAAGTGATTTGGTTGGCGTTTGTTACAAAAAAAAGACGTGTAATCAGCATTGATGTGGACAGCCGAGGAAAAAAGTAACCAAGCACATGTAAATCTTTTTGAAGGGTATTCAGCTGAATTTCGAAATAAAAAATGTGGAAAAATTTTTGCAGGAACGAACGCAGGAGTTATCCAACGCAGGTGTGTTGAAGGGTGTCATTAACTTGAGCAACCATATGCCTAATTGGCCAATAGTGATACATGTCTATTATAAGGATTTTAAATCATTAAACATGCATACGTACAATACCTCATAGAAAATTAAAGATATGCATTGATTTATTTTAATAATGTAAATAGTGTTATCCATGAACAATTAAATAAATAAAACGACATGACACTTCTTTCTCATATTTTCAATGATTCAACATTAAAACAAAGACTGAAGATGAGAAATTTAATGGCAGAAATTTAATGGAATCTACTGCTACCTCTATGAATAATTTATCCGGCCCCATAAAAAAAATGAAAAGCAAGAAAAAACACTGTTTAAAGATGTTTGTTATATTGAAAAGCTGCTTTCATTACTCAGAACAAACTTCAAAATTTCTGAGCGATCGACCGCTTATACTACCAATAGTAGCAGATGTTCAAAGAGGAGCAGCAGTTTCGAGAGCACTTAGAGAAAACAATTAAAATAAAATGTATGATATATAATTGACCTAACATTTTATAAAACTACCAATTTTAAAAAAAAGTTATACTTGTATTATGTGTCTTATAATAGATTTATTTTTATTTTATAAATATGCTCCAGTGTTGCAGCTATTGAACATTTAAGTATTTTGGTAATAAATTCTTCTTTATGTTCAAGAATACTAGTGTTCTTAGAAAACTTACTATTTTAAAATTAACTTCCATACTACTAGTTTCTTACACGTTTTAAATCTGAATTTACTAGTTTTTCTACAAAAAATACAAGAACTCGTCCCTTTTTATTGGCTGTCAGAGATCATCCCCCTCTGCAACACCAATAATCTCAAGGAAAGCATAGTTACAGAAATTTGCCCTTATTAAAAATATAAGAAAGAAATGAATTAGTTTTCAATGTAAAAAAAAAAAAAAAGTAAAATGTAATGCCAAATGTAATTCTGCAGAACCTTCTCTTCAACTTCACATTGTATCCAACTACATGTATATAACATATTTTTTTAACCAACATTTGATAAAGTGTGAAAACGATGAAAAAAATATCACAAAAATTGAGTCTTCACCAGATATTGGACTAAAAAATTGGTTCATTATGAACTTTAATAGATTTGAAGTTCTAACAAATCTTTTAGGACAATACCTGAATAATAAAAACAATTTTTCATAATGTTTTAATGAGAATTTGGTAGACAATAGTTATGAACATGTCAGTATCAAAGTTGGTCATTAATAAACAATATTCGTGTAAATGAGTATTTGAATTCATTATCTACTGTCTTAAAGTAGAAAAAAATAATCTTGATATTGAGGTATTTTAGCATGCTGTTTTAAGTTAATGCCTGCCTGTAAGATAAGAAATGGCAACACTATTTTATTACATTCTTTCAAGTGAAAAAATGTAAGAAAGAATTTTAGTGATATATTTTTTATATTAAGTTGCAGAGGGTAAAGGTTCAGAAATTGAATAGAATAAATAAAAAATAGATATTCTTGAGAAGCTAAATGTTCTAATACGGGTCAAAACTAATTTCATTCACTCACTATTATTAACACACATTTTCAAAAAGTTGTATGTCAAAAAAATGAAAAAGAATTAATTTTTTTGTAAGCAAGAGAAAATTCAACTTGACATTGGCTTACTTGGAACAATTTCACTTTTTTAATAATTCATGTAAGTGGGATTAAGTCAAATGATAATAAATTCAATATAAATTAAGTAACACTGATCAATTATAAAATTGAACAACATTCTATCCTTATATCCGAATTATGTGTTTCTAATGAGTAAAATGAATTGAAGCTGCAGTTTTAATTAGTAATAAAGTTGAATGGAAGATTTCTTCTTCTCTAATAATTATTGTTCAACAATCATATTAACATTCTCTAATAGATTTAGGATATACTTCTTTTTTTTTTAATATTTATTTTCTACCTATTCCATCATAAAAATTTTCCAGGTATTTTAACGTTGTTTACAATAATTATATAAGGCAAGATGCCAGCAGAGAATTTGAAGAAAAATAATATTACCTACAATTTAAAAGAATAACTTGTTAAATATATTTGAATAAATACAATTGCTTAAAAAGAAGTGAATTGAAAAGGGGGGAAATAATTATTTAAATTAAGGAGGATGAGAAATTAAGTTCTCGAGGAAACACCAATGTATTTGAAAATTTTGAAAATAATTTTTAGACACAAGTGAAATAAATAGATTATAAAAGTTGTTTGTGAGATGAATAAATGATTTAAAAGAATCAATTTTAAGTTCTCTAATGTGCATTTTTTCGGATTCTTAGAGAGTAGGCAAAAGGAGAGTAGAGAGCAGAGAAGAGAGTAGGTAGAGGAGAGAGTAGGGTAGAGGAGAGAGAGTAGAGGAGAGGAGAGAGAGTAGAGGAGAGGAGAGAGAGTAGAGGAGAGGAGAGAGAGTAGAGGAGAGGAGAGGAGAGGTGTGGAGAGTAATGAAGAGACGAGAGAAGAGGGAGAGTGGAGACTGAGCAGAGGGAAGAGGAGTGGACAAGGAGGGGATATCGAGAAAGGGAAAATAAACGTTTTCATATTATAATGAAATTCACATCTTGTACAGCTAACCTCTTGAAGCACAAAAACAACACAACTTTCATTATGATGTCCATATCAAACTATTTTCATTAATAAGAGCATGTTCTATCTACCTGCACAGAAAGTGATAACTTAATTTCTGTTCAATAATAATATCCATACCACTCGATTCATAAATCCCACGAAGCACCAGAATGCATCAGCTTCATTTGTCATCAAGCACAAAATTGGAGACAATAGATCACTCATTCCTTGGACATAACCCAGATCAAAGTTGTACATAACGTATGTCATAAGGATATCTGACAAAACTTGAAGATTTGAATTGTTTTCGCCAGCAAAGAATTCTATAGTGCGATCTGTTCGTTTCGCATCTTTCTCTGAAAAACAAATAAAAATAATAATAAATAAATTCACAATCATATGATTACATTATTTACAAATTCAGTAAAATAGGTGGCACTCAACCACATTAATTTTATGGATGCTAATCAGAACCAATTTTCTCTGTTTCAGTTAGTAATTGCATTTCCACAATTATATAACAAGAAACTAACATTAGCGACAAGGATGCAATTAATATTTGCCTGGAAATGTCTTACAAAACAAATTCAATGAAATTGTCAAATGGTCATCAGACAACTTTTATATTAATTTATCTAAAACTGGTCTTATGCATTTCGAATCACCACATAAGACAACACAAATCAAAATTATCATTATGTACAATTTATGCTGTATGCAAAACCTAAATAAGAAATGCCTCTCTGAGAAAATGTTCAAACATGAATATAGGGAATCTACTTGGGAATAATAACAGATTCACATCTAAAATTTCATCATGTGCAAACTTTTGTATCTGACAAGATTAAAATATTACAGGGAAATTTTTAGGCAAAAAAATCACATGTAGAAAAAAACAAAGAATTAGTAGTATTGCGTAAAGCTCTAGTTGAATCACCCTTATGATATGGAATACAACTGAGACAACTAACACAAGACAGACAACTGAATTCTTTACAGTTGAAGGTAATAAAATTAGTTGCAGGAAATAAAAATTTGAATAAGAAAGTTATTAGAATATTGTAAACCATTAACTCCAAAAGACTAATAAATCTTTTTTTTCCCCTTCAATATCACAATGATACAAATAAAATAGTAAATAAACACGGATTATCAAAAAAAAGGCACAATATTATGTTCCATGGATGTACAATAATTACATGGGGGACAACCCAGCATTACATAATTGCAAAACATATTAATTCTGTACCAGCAGACACTGAAAATAGAGTTTGTCAAAAAGTATAGCGAGAAAATTAAAGAATGGAATAAATTCTAGTTTGCTTTTTTTGTGATTCATAGTATTTTCTGCTTTTGTATTTTTCAATTATTGACCATTATATGTACTTTACAGAGACTGCCAGTGTATTTATCTCTATGTATATAATAATGAATACATTGTGAATAATTGTAAAAGAAAATGCAGGGAACCTGATGCCGAAGTCCTTGGACTCACCAGGACTCAAAACTAACTGAAAGCGAATAAAAAATTCAATTCCATTATTATCGTGATCATGATTATCATCATAATAGAGCTAAATTATTGTTATTATAAATAGTATTGTTATGGTTTTCATTCTTAGTATAGCTACCATTGTCGTCACTGTTATTGTTATTGAGAAAATATCAATAAAGGTAGTACTAATAAAATACAAATGGAGTGAGAAGGACTTACAAACTTTTGCAAACCATGCAGTATTCTGATAACTAATATACACTACATACCAATAAGACTTTTTCGTTCTCGGTAATCAGAAAATCGTTCCTCTTGTCCAGGTGACATCGTCTTCCACTGAAGCTTCATTCGAAAATATTCATCAGTCTTCTGTTTACGTATGTTTTGACGATCTGTATTTGTTGAATCCCATGGAAAATATCCTAGCAAGAATTTCCAAACTTCGTAACGTAGCGAAGGTACAATTCCCTAAAACATTGGAAAAGCTTTCTATTGACAATACAACCAGAATACAATCTCCAAGGATTATAGTAATGTTTTTCTTTGAATGCCATGAATTCTTTTGCAATTAATGGGAACCAAGCATACAAACTATCTTTACTGATATTGACTAGTTCGCTTTTAACTTGATTCAAAAACCTGAACATTTTTCATGGAATTTTGGGAAAAAATTGCATAATCCAATTTCTGTTCTATAACTTACACCTAGTTCTATAACTTACACCTTTGAAAATTATCATCTTGAGCATATCCACGTCTGTTACCCTTCCTTCATCATCTTGCAATTGTGCCCACTGTTCTACAGTGAGGGGTGTGCTACGTGTCACTGGTACCGACTGAGGTAGCGGTATGCCTCCAATAACTTCATATTCTTCAGATCCAATATGCGTTATTTGATCATCGGGAGTCCAACTTTGAGTTAACAACTCTGCTACTTCATCTTCTACTTTTTTCTCTTCACTTGAACGCCCATATACTATAATAAGAAAGTATATCTTGTACAAGACAACACAGAAATATCAAAATGATACCAACCTTTAGTAGAAAATAAATCATTCTCCAAAAACTTGTTTTTTGACAGTACATATAATCTATATCCAAGTCAAAAGAAATCTGTGAAGACTAGTGGTTTTGTCAACATTAAGTTATCTTAAATATGAGTTGATCAGAAACTCATCCATTGAGGCAAAATTATAAAAAGGTTTATTTGAATGTGCCATATGAAGGTCTGGTACTTGATGTCTATGCAAATCAAATTTATACATAAAAGAACTCTTTTTAATTCCAAATATTATAAAAATCTTCATTGACCTTTTCCCAAAGCATTTATCAAACCAATGTGACCAGAGATCAAGTAACTGACAGGTATTGGAGCTCATTTCACGCAAGTGCAAAAAATAAAATACAATTTGTAGCACTCTTACGGAGCAGATTTTTCTCCCACACTTATGAAAACCCAAAATTCTATTGACATTATGTGCAAGTACCTCTGTATGAAGCTTAAATGATAGTTGCCAGTCAAATGTAACAGCAAGATTTTTTATTATGAAAACTGATACTAGTACAATTTCTTTCAGAGTAATTGTACTCAATTTTCTGGGTTCTGTACAAATAACAAGATCTTTCATTTACCGGTAACTTACGTTCAATATAAGACTTATAAAATACGATCAAATTATTCTGTATGTTAATGCAATACTGTGTAGAGTTGACTAGTAAATTTCATATCATCTGCGACAATAAAAAACTTGACACATTCTTTTTAAAACCATCAATAGTAATTGCAAATAGCAATGAATCAAGATAACAGTTTTGAGGCACACCTGAGGGTGGAGAGAAAGGGATAGGTAAGTAACCCACATTCTGCACTATAATAGTTTGTAACACCAGATAAGATTTAATAAGGGGAAATAATTATAAAGGATGTCTAATAATTTCAATTTATCAATAACACAAGCAACAACAAAAAAAGTTGTCAGATCCAAAGACTTCCTCTATATAAATAATATTGGAATGATAGAGCATTTTAAACACAAAAGTCAAATATAAACAGCATTTAATTTCCTGATAGAGTAAAATAAAACATGTTTGGAAATTCTGAAAGGGTAATTCAACACCATGAAAAACTGAAAGCATTGTTGGCTATGTCATTAGTTTTACCTGGATATCTTTTATCCAGAAAACTGAAATATATTACAATCTACTATACAAATCTAAGTTATTTCTTATCCAAACAATCCTAATTTTTGACTTTAACACCTTCATACTTCCTAGTAATTATACTGTGTACTGGGACACAGCATTCCTAACTCACTGGTCAATATCCCAACTTTTGAAGTATCTGAAAAAGAGAAAACTAACAAAATAGATGAGGTGTGGCAATATACATAGAAGGAATTCTCACCCAGAACTCTGACAGCAAGCACTCTTCATTCCACCCTGAACACAAACGAGGCTGAATCCTTGTGGAATAACAGTATTAGCTTCCGGTTTGGAATAAATTACAGACCTCCAATATCTACTCAGCCTAACTATAGACTAATTCTGAAATTAAAAGACGCCAATCTCCCATTGTACACCAAGATAATTTCAACAGAATTCAGATCTGGAAATGTATACATAATTTGTCTTTAAATTATCATATCAGGATTATAACAAAACAACAAATTCTTCAAGATGTTTAGTGAACAAATGCTTCAAGAAAGTCTCAACTCTCGATATACACCACATTTATGAGACCAATTCTAAAATACACTTTCCACACTTTGTCACCCTTACTTTAGTTTCAACATAGAAATTTTACAAAGAGTATTAAAAAGAGTAATTAAAATACCAGCAAACTTAAGGCCCCTTACAAAGCAAGACTTGCTTCACTGCCAACCTTGCTTCACTACCAACCTTGCAACATAGACTGCTTCAAAGAGACCGAATCGAAACAGTTCCTTTGCACTGTAAGATTATTTTTTTTCTCTTAGTAAGTATCACAAAACTCTGCAGTGACATCAATGGAATTTGAAGCCACTGATTGGATAACACAACCTCCCTCTTCCTAATTAGCCGCTAGCTATCAAGTAGACATAAATACTTTTCAAACAATAACCACAAAGTCATCTTCAACTAATACCCCACACTGAAAAGCCTTTAGTGCAAAAGGATCATTTCCAAAGCAACCAACACAAACACTTCTTGTTTAACTCAGCTGCCAATGAATGAACTGCCTACCAGATGAAATAAAATCACACCGTTCAACAATTAAATCAAAACTAAATGATTACTTGCAATCAATTTACATCATACACTGCCTAGATGTATGTTAATATTAAAGTCTAAGTTCAAAGTATGGCTAAATTGTGAATTAGCAAGTTAATTTGCACATTAGCCAGATGGTTATAATAAAGTTGAACAAAAGACACTGAACGGATTGATGGATTGTTTCAAACACATGGCTAATTTGCAAATTAGCCACAAGGTGCTGCATAAAGGAAAGTGATGTCTGAGTGCAAAGCATTTTGTATTTGTGAGAAACATTTTGGCACAAAATGGATAGGAAATTATGCTTTGCACATATTCAAATTTGTTTTATGCCACTTGAAAAAGCTGACGGCCATAGCCTTGTTGCCACAACTTGGAAACATGTAACTAAGTGTCAACTAAGATATATAGTGGTGTTAGGTTAGATTAAATGTGATCATGTAAATTGAAATTTACAACTGATGGAGTGGAACTCTCATTTACACACTTTGGCACTAGAAACCTCAATAGCACTAGAAACTTCTCACGAACAGTCTTGTTCCCATTTTTTTTTCTTCTTCTTCTTCTTCTGTTTATAACAATGTAACTCTTTTCCTTCTCATCATAATTTACTTTGCCCCAACTAGCTACCTTGTGCTTTATCTGCTAAGGAAGAAGGTGAAGATTTTTGAAGGTGGGGACAACTTCAGATTTTATCCAACTATTTTGGACAATGAGAAATTAAATGCTAATTCACAAACTAACCAGATTGGACATAAGTTGTAGCATAAAAATGCATATGTCACAGTAGAATTGTACCATAAACCCATCCACATGACACTAGTTTCCGTCAGTACAGTGAATAATAAAGAAATAAATAAGTAATAAAGAAAAAAAGTGTAACAGTCACAACAAATACAAAATTGTTTGCTACTCAATAATCACAACAAATGTTTAAGACAAAAAAAATAACAACTTCAAAAATCAATTCAATTAATGCAGTAATAATACTTACACCAAGCATCAGTTAACTTGCTAAAGGCAGTCATTGTTGTTTCATATGGACGATATTGAAAGTCTTTTACAAACTTCCACACATAATCTGACTTGTGTTCAGTGAAAAGTTCCAACTCAGCAAATGATTGGTCAATGACTTTGGCTTCAGGAGAACGTACAACTCTATAAGAATGACGATCTTTCTTGAAACTGAAACACATTAAAAAGCCACATACCTTTAAGAAGCCTACTTGATTGTATTAAACATTGTTATTAAGTCATTAATGATTAAAATCTACAATTACGAAAAATAATATACATCAATTACAAAAATACTTTTTACTAGAAGCCAAAAATTAAAACAGGATTTTTTTTACATCAAAAGAATCAGTTTTTTATTTAAATCAGACACATTTTAATTACATTTTTTTAAAAAATTGTATTAGATGATTTTGCTTTAAACCAAAATTGTTAAGTGATGTAATCCTTAATTACTTTAAAATCACAAAAAACCTTATTGAAAAATAAGTTTTTAAATGTATCATTAAATTATTGTAATTTTATTTTAAAACTAATGGTGATACAACAGCACATACTTTTTCACACTTAGTAATGCTTATGTAATACTATTTATATGGCAATTTACGAATCTCAGTCATCATTTTTTGGGAAACTCAAATATTTGAAACAGGTACATGATCTTATTTCAAAATCTATCTTTAAGGAACAGCATTTATTAAGGGGAAAAATATTTAATATTTTAGTTGTAGGAAGGTGCTGAAAAAATTTTCAACTTTTGCAATATTCGAAAAAATCAGGGTTTTTGACAAACACGAGTCAAGCACCATCCTGTTACACGTCCTTCACACTACACAAAACAGTTTAATTAAAAACAGAGTCATTTCCGTAAAAAATTTTGAAAATGTCTCAGGGGCTTAATGTAAAGCACAACTTAAAATTAAAATTTCGGTTTTAAATTCAAGGGGTCTGCAACACCTGCCATATTAATTGGGGAATATCAGTTCTGGAGAAAATCGGCTGAAGAATTTAGCTGCTAGCGTTGTTCACAGACGGAGGGACAGACAAAATATGGATTCTAGCTACACAATGTATAAGAGGATCTTTTCCTCTAAATTTAGCAACTGGATTTATCCACTTTTTTGTTACCAGAGCGCTGTAATAAGTTTTCTGCTCAAAATTTGCAATTTTTTCGTGCAGCATTACATAATTTGCTCTCTGTTGTGTAAGCAGTAGCTAGAAAGTAAAAAATAAGGATATCATATATTTGAGGAGTCTGGTGCAATACCGCCTTAGCTCACAAATTTTAAATTTGAGTTACTTAAATTGAAATAAAGTCTCTTACAGTCATATTACCGAACAAGCTTGTGGTACCATAAGTGTGATTTAGGAAAAGGCATTCTTCTTTCAAAAAAATTTTACCACTTTTAGTGCAATGCCACCTTATCAAAAAGCATGTATTTTCGAAAACAACTGAATTCATCGTAAAAATTATCACAATGTTAGATAGTTTTTGAAATATTAAATTTTATTTTATAGTAGTACTGTGAAAATATGGTGTGTAATGATTGTCAATTGTGCACTTTTCCATCCTTTAAAGGTCAGTGGAATTTATGCTTTGAACTTAAAATGGTATTTTATCAATATACACAAAGGAAAAGGTTAATATTAGTAAAACTACTAAGATAACCTACAGTTTTCATTATATTTTACAATATTAATTTTGTTCTTAAATGAGTATTAATAAAATTTCATTTTTATTAACTCTTCCATTCACGGAGCTCAGATTTTGCGACTTTTCAGTCAAAAAGTTTTTGCAGTGAAAGAAAACTTTTGATGTTACTTTGTTATTTTTAATGACAGGATATTTTTGAAAATAGGTAATCATTCACGAAGAATCAATCTTTTTTCTGCATTAAAAGAATGCAATAATATTAATCATGTCATGACATATACAGACTCAAGTTTGTGGGACTGAGGAATGAGGTACAGGTGTTAAGGGCTATTTTGATACGCTAAAAATTTACATGCATCCTACTGAAAGGGATTTTTTTCATTTTTATTGATTAATATTACATCAAACTAGCGAATATCTGTAAAGCATCTACTCACAATAGTCCGTTTCTGTACAATAAGTTTTTTTACAGAACAAAAACGCATAAAAATATTCAGAAATAATATTTAACCATATAAATTCATCTCATAATATTGATAATAACAAAAATCTGTATGCTAGAATGAAGATCCAAGGCTCCCGTGTAATGTAAATATAAAGTAATAATGTCCCTCGGGATGTATTTAGGGGAGAAGGAAAGGGGAGGGGACAACCCAGAAAGATTTCCTCATCCCGCTCCCTGCCCAGTACAAGGAGATTCACTTAATGATTATCAACTGGCGGGACCTTCTACCTCACTGTTTTAGTGCACAGCTACTGATCTTTCATGGGAATCACAAGGAACCAAGTCCACAACAGAAAATGACACCATCCCTTCAACTCCTAATATCAATTGGTCCCCTCCAGGTACTATCTCTCCTTGCAATTTTAAGATACTACTGTCGGAAAAAATAAAAGCGTCAGTCCCCCTTAAAAAGGAAGCGATTAGACCCAAGAGCAGCAATCATTACTATTGAAGAGTGAATCGAAATTCAGAAGCAGAAGAAACAAGAAGGCAGAAGAAAAAACTAGAAAGGGTATTAGAAAAAAGAAAATAGTTTAGTCACATTCTAGCGATAGTGAATATTTTATACTCTTCGAGAAAAGCAGAGATGATATGGACATGGAAGGTCTGCCAAGTAAAATTAACAGGGATGAACAGTCAAAGAATTTTAAGAGCTAAATGTAAACAAAGAACAGTCCGAAACCTACATATCTATTAAGATTAAGGATAGGGTTTTCCTGTCTTTCCTCTAGGGGTATAATGAGTTAGAATATACTACATAGAGTGGCTGACCCTATGGTTTCAGTGCTCTTGGTGGACACTCTTTGAACTAGGGGCCACCATGATTTTGCAGTCAAAACATGAGTGCCTGATTTTTAAGTTTTATATATTTTATATATTTTATATATTTATTTATTTTTTTTTTTATTTTGGCCACAATTGGCGTCTTTGCCAGGTGGTAGCCAATTAATTTTCCTTATACCAAAAATGAAATTAAAATAATTATTACCTACAACACGTATACCCCGCATACAAAAAGCTCCCATTTCACGCGACACATTGAAAACTCAACTTACCTCTGCACACACCAAACACGCACGCACCACGCACAAATACGTATTACTCACACGCCCACACACACAACATACCATACTTATAACACACACATAATTTCATATTACTCACTATACACATATACATACGCCATATGCACCTATTCACACGTACATGGCGATACGCGATATACACACACACACACACCATATACAACACATACATATTATACACTCCACAAACAATGTACTTACAGCTAATTAATCAACATCAATATATACTCTATCGCTTTCCTATTGTATCTAATCTCTCAATCTGTAAATTCTATTCATTTACTTTATTCACTTCTTGCTAACTCTTCTTACGCTGCACTACACTGCACTACACCTGGCACCCAGCACCCAGCCTCACACCCCCTATCATTTTATTTTATATTTAATACACTTTTAATGTCGCATATCACGCTGAAATTCCCTGACTCTACCATCTTCCCTTCACTAAAAAAGCTAACTAACTTGAAAAAATAAAAATAAAAAAAAAATACTATTGAACTTCTAAGCGATTTTAAAACACTTTACATTCCTTAGGAAAGCTCCATACTGTCTGCAGTGTATTTCTTCAATCCTCTAATTGTGCGATTTACAATATGGAATGATTACCGTAATCAGTTTCGCTGCCGTTCTAGTTTCTATTTTCCAATTATTATCTTTTCTCCCGTAACGTCATGGAGCATGTCTTAGTCTTCCACCTTATCCCTCTCCACCTGGACAATTTATTATACCTGCTTTAAACAGTACAACATTAATCTGCCATCTTCCTCGCTACTAATGATCTCGATAAGATTGTTGCACTTCCGCGTGGTGCCAATACCCTACTATTATGAATTCACTGCTCCTTTTTTGGACTCTTTCTATCTTGTATTATGAACCTAATTCGTACGATCCCCAACAACTCCACGAGTATTCAAAGAGTTCGCCTAACTAAAGATGGGGTAAGCCAATTCTACTTTTCCATGTACCCTTCTTTAAATTCTTCTTGACAAAATAAACGAACTCCAAGCTTTTCTTACTACATAATTCGATATGTTCACCCCCATCCTAAGTCCAATGCAAATTAATTCCCTAACAGTATCTACAGCTGATTACCTCCGGATCAAGTTGCCGTCATGTATAATTAAAGATTCTAGTATAGATTTTGTGAACTGATAGTCTTACTTTTGTCGGCATTTATTTCCATTTTGATTTAGCCCCATGTGTATATTTTATTTAGCATCCTGCTTGAGTTGCACTATGCATCTTCAGAGATATCTATCTATCCGGTAAAATGAAGCAATTCGTCGGCAAAAAAGCGCATTACTGAATCAATAAAAAGTGGGCTAATCGTGAAAAGCCTATAAAAACAAGTCCTAGACACTTCCCTGAGAACTCAGATGTAATTTTTGCCTCCACACAATATACTGACCAACCGACTTGCTGCGACACCGCTCTTCCAAGAAATTCGATGAATCCACTTAACACCCTAACGTCGATACCCAGGTATTCTGCCAAAATTTTCTTAAGTAAATCTACATGTGCAACTAAGAATCGAACCTTTACAGAAGTCTATTACGATGCCATCCGCTCCTTTTCACGGTTCCAGTGCGTCAGCGAAATATCCCCTTGACATGTTAGAAAATAGTTTGGACTCCGCATGAAATGATTTACGAAAAACCCATTGTTGCCCTCCATACAGCCATCCTAATTTGCCCCATCCATTTCCAAATACTCAGCTATGAGATGTTCCATTTGCTTACAAATGACAGAGGTTAAACTCACAGGTCTATAGTTAGAGACGCATGCTGTTGGCTTGTAGAATGTTGTAGAATGGCGATGTTGGCTTGTAGAATTGTTTACTGAATCAGGTGCGCATCCACAGGAAGGAAATGAGGGAAATTTCCCCTCTAAAATTTTTCACTATCTAATCATTTTAACTTCTCACAAAACTTTCAAGCAAAAATATTTTAAGATTATCATCAAAACAGATAAAATTGTATTGCAGCCTGAGCTAGTGTAGCCTACCTCATTTCACAAAATATGACACCTTGGACAAAAACATTTTGAATTTCTCCTCCCAAAATTTGTCTTTGGATCCACCCTGACTGAATCGACGTGTTGTTTGTATCAGATCTTATTTCTATAAAGTTGTCTCTTCGTTTAAGTATATTTAAATTATATTAGTGGTTAGAATAATAATATTCGCATTGTCTTCGCTAGGTTCGGTATAACTAAAAATAGAAATAATCAAACCATCAATATATCATTTTTCAAGTTTGCAGCCTAATTTGTGATCTGTGTATTCTTATTGCAGTAACATCCACTTTCAGGTGTTACACTAACTACAAAACATCCCAACAGCATCCATTCTTGACAATAACCAATGCAGGAAGAAACGTGTTTTTAGTTCCTCAATTTGTTGTCTTTACATATTGTGATTTTGTTTTTAAAAATTTGGTTTTTGGTCTTGAGAACACACAGTAAGAGATTTAAGGTTGGTTTATTTATACATTGCCAATACTGGTGTGCCAGTTATGAGCTTGCCAGCATCTAGACGGCGCTGTCGCTCTGGGCTACTGGCAATAGCTGTTTACAGTGCTAGTAATGGCACGCAAGATGAGATATTTTTCTTGCTGCTCTTAGCTTGTGTATGCTCTTTGTGACGTGCTGCTGATAGTACACCCACAAACAACAGTGTGCAAAGCAAATGTTCCGTAAACATTTTATCTTATTCACGTAATCTGCCTGGTAGTAGTTCTACATCCTCATTTTATTTGCAATTGCCAGAAGCGCAGCATTGCTGGGCTTGCGGTTCTTGCATTCTGGTAAAAAATATCCCACGAATTTTCTGATTCACAATACAACAGGTCAAACTTGCTAGTTCTTCAGTCATTCAAGACTTCTGCCTCCCAGTAATTTTTATAAAAAAATATAATAATACGCTTACATCGATCACGTGCAAGTATAATGCCATATACACATGTGTTATGTGTCAGGTGGTCGCCAGCTCTAGAGTTTAGAAGTTGCCAGTTTGAAACAGTGATGGGGGAGCTCGTGAGTACGCCAGTAAACCAAATATTCTTGTTCAGCTGGCATCACCAGTGACTGGCACGAAGGTCTTGCTAGTCACTAGCAACAAGGTTTTGCCAGTTTCCACTTGCCAGTTATAGGTAACCTCAACTGGCAAGTTCACCGGCATTGTGTAAATGAGCCTTTCGATTACACAGATATATATTATGCCTGGCCTGGGTTCACCCACCCTTAACCAGCACCAAGTGGAATACTAGAATACTCCATTTCTCCAAAGGGTGCTGCTTTGACTGCAAAAAACATGGCTGCAAAGATGGCAGCACTTCAGCCACTCTATGTAGTACATTCTAATTCGTTGGGGCATAAGTAGCACATAGAACAAATGTATCAACGTCAGTAGAAAAATAATTTATAATCATTTTACCATAGTATTAACATTTCTAAATATTCATTTTACCTCTTCCTTTCCTTTGGAAACTTACTATCTTTCTGGAATTTCTGATTGTGTTCCTGTGCATCCCGAAGGGATAAAAAACATTTAGAGTTATTTTGTGAAGTTAGGATCTCTCTCTATCTCTTCATATTAACACAACATGTTTCTTCGTGGGGAGGTGGCAGTGATCTTCACCCCTTGACTGGTGACATCCGATGCCGAACAACATCAGTATACAGGGATTTTCCCCAACCAGGTATCTCCCACCAGTGTGGCATCACCGTAGCTGCAACCGTGTCTAAGTTCACGACTGGTCTCCCAACAGGTGTAGAACATGTAAGTGTGTGTAAGTAAGGGGTGAGTATAAGACAAGAAAGAGGAAGGAAAGATCATGCCCCGACCATGTCCCATTTGTTAGGATACTGCTCCGGCATTTGCCAAGTGTTGGTAGTAGGCAACAAAGAAAACTTCTGCTCAGAGCAGCCAGCCACAAGAATTCTTCTCCAGATAGGGGCTGACCTAGCTATGTGACCTAGCTGACAATGTACAGTCAAATATTCTGTCACCGGCGGGGCTCAATCCTGGGACCTCCTGGTTAGAGGCACTGTATTGACATCAGTTGATGCTTTGAGGCACCTTTGCCACTCGTCTCTTTATTATTGTTTTTGATGCCAAATTATTTGCAACATGTTCCTCATTCCCTTTCGTACAGTATATTATGTCACCTAGTGCACATCCTTTCGCTGAATTACAGCACCAAAAAATTGTTATTCCTCGTTTATGCGGTTGTGATTTGTGTTACTTACATAAGACAAGTAAACAAAGAAGACTGGAAGGATTGTGTAAAAATTCAACAACACAAATGTGCTTCTTACGCTTTCAAAGAGCAATTAAGAGGAAACAGGCTACCAGGCCTCCGAGGCCCACAAAGAGTAAAGCATGACTATCCCCACAAAAGTTGAAAAATATTGAAAATCTCATGACTTTCTGTACCGTCCTTTGTCATGTGAAAAGAAACAATGACAGAGGTGATCATATAACAACACACCTGTAATGTGAAAGCGGAAATATTTACAGCAGTAAGAAAAACCACCAGGCCTCTGATGCAAACGAAGTGCACTGAAGGGTTAATACACATAACCAATTAAGATGTACCTAGAGTGGCTTTAGAAAACATTTTAATATGAATCTAGAATTATAAATACCAATTATGCTTTAAACACGTTTTTCTCGAAACTAGTTTGGGGAGTGTGAGGGCGGTTTTGCTGCTAAATTACTTAACAACAGACAATTGAATGCTGGATAAAAAACTAATCTATTATCTACCTATTAGTATATAACTCTACTACAAATTCTTTATTTTTCTTCGTTTCATAAGGGGTTTGTAGGCTTCCTCGGCCGGAGTCAATGTATTCTTGGCTATCTGGAATGAGCCGCGTTTCAGTTGATTGGACTGACGTTTTGGCCATCATGTTGTGGCCTATACTGCTGGCAGCAGTATAGCTCTGAAGAAGGCCACAACATGATGGCCAAAACGTCAGTCCAATCAACAGACGCGGCTCATCCCGGATAGCCCAGAATACATACTTCGTTTCATAAGATCGTTAATTTTATTGTATATTATATTTTATTTTCTCAAAATTTTTCAATTACATGAAAAATGTACAAGGAATATAACATATTCTTTATATCAACTTTGCAATTCACTTAAGTCTCTCTATTTGAGTAATTTTTATTTTACAAATATTTAAATTACAAATACATTTTCAAATATTACTAATAATAAATAATGATTTAAATTATTAATTTTTGTAATATGATAATTTGATTTAAATCACGATTTAAATCAATGGCTTAAATTACAAGATTTAAATCTTACCAGCCTTACTGAAAATGATTCTGTATTTGGTATAATCCAGCTCTAAAGTATTGTTTAATAATAACAGATTCCATGTGAACAACCTATTACCACTAGAAGCATGTATAATATTGAAACTATAAGATAAATGTGATGACAAGGAGAAAAATTTTTGTGAGATTTATTTTCACAGAATTTTAGATTATTGATGGTATTAATAAAAAGCACCTTAACACAATTAGTACAATAAGTTTACATTGAAAAGCTACTTTTGAATTGCATAATACTCACGCAGATTTCAAAATCCCACGTAGTGCAGCAACAAAACTGTCAGCATTGCCATTTTGAAAAATGAACACACTTTGTAGACCTGACTCACTCTGGAGAAGCAGTTGATGCCCATGCTTGATTACTTTAAAACTGTGTAGATCAGCTAGTCTCAAAACAAAAAGTTTTGATCGAGATGAAACTTCATTACATCCTGTAAATTGAAGACAAATGGAACTGAATTGTATTAACTTAGAAAGAGAGGGAGACGGAGCGCGAGGGAGACGGAGCACGAGGGAGACGGAGAGAGGGAGGGGGAGGGAGAGAGACGCTGGCTAGGTGGTCAGAGATAGATATAGACTTGTAAATTTAACCAAAATTAAAATATTGAAAAATATATGGGAAAGTCTATGTTGTAGGTGTGATCTGTATGGTGAGTAATTACCATTTCATTTGTTTGCTTTTGTCACGAAAAATGTATATTCAAAAATTGCAATTAATTATTGCATTTTTATTATTTTTTTATTTCACAGGGGAAAAGTTGGGACTTTCACGTACTACCACAGTCTTTCAGATTTTAAAATAACAATTATTTAGTGCTTTAGTGATATTCATAACAATTAGCTGCTAATAATGTTCAGTGGAAGGTATATTGACATATCAAATCATGATGCCCATCCAACTCTGTTCTGAGAGTCTATAATTATATCTGGAAATTTTCTTCTTGAAAACCTAATCAATATTATTAGTAATTATTGCTGAATAACAAAATTATTTATGAGCACATGTGCTTTAAATAAGGTCGTATAAAGTTCTGAAAATTCAACCATTCTCTGTGAAAACTAGCTCAAAATTCCTCATTTTCAGAAATGCTCAAATGTCATTTTCTCAAAAAACAGCTCCAAATTTTTTCTTCAAATGGATAATGCTAATTGCACTCTTTAATATAATGTAATGCCCACTTACAGGTGGTTTTTTTTTTCCCCCTCAAAATTACTCAATTGTAATTTTTTTGAAAGATCTCTCATGGCGTTAATATGCACCTTGCCCAGCAATCTGTAAACACTATTATATTCGTGAGTTAAAGTGATTGAAATTACTTTTAATGAAAGGTTTTGAAAACTCAAAAATTATCTCTGGAAAAGAATTTTGAATTTACAGTAACGCTAAAACACCATTTTCTTAAAAATTACTGAAAGTTTTTCAAAGAAAATTGCCATTTTGAATGAGGTTTTGCTGATCTTTAATATTATGCAAATAACATTTCAGTTCTACTATTAGGAAAGCAAAAACTGAAGAAAATTTCAAAAAAAAGTACTTTGTGTGACGATAGATGGCAGATGGCAAAAGTATGTGGCAACTCCAAATAGCTAGCCAAGACCAAAGGAAATAGGAAACTAATATGGGAAAGTCTGTGCCATTCTGTAGCACCACTAGTTTATGGTTATACTACTATTAAAGCTTACTCTTACTTTTGGGAACTGATAAATGAAAAAAATATTTGGCAAAAATTTGCGATCTCCCCTCCAGAATGTCACGTTCAATTTCCCGCAAAGCGCTATTCAATATATGGGTCAAAAGTGCTAGTGACATACAACAATGACTACAAGTACTTTAGAGAATGTAAAATAAAATAAAATAAAATAAAATAAAAAAATTAAAATGAGAAAATAGAAATAGCATGTTTTGTCTAACTATTAGAGGGGAATGGGAAAAAATAGGAAGACGTAAGGAGCATTTTTTCATTACAATTCTTCGTGGCTGAATGAGGAAATTGTTTTTGAAGTTAATAGTGCTCCTCAGTCAGAAGAAACTCCAATGACAGGACCTGGCCAGCCAGCAAAGTAATTTCATTTTTGTTCCCCTTCTACAAAAAGACAGAACGTTAAGCATCTCTTAGAGTCATCCACCGAAGAATTGACTATGGCCGCAAGCCTATGGATTCTGTTAAGACAAGACAGAAAAAGGTATTTGGCAGCAATTGTGAAAGAATTCAGTACTGCATCTCCAAATAGGGGGACAGTAATTAAGAAGTCTCGCAAGTGCCTGTTACAAAAGCCAGAGTTATTACCGGAGCAAGCCCTTGCATTAATGGTACACATTAATTTGTCTAGTCATCAATATGAACAACTATGAGAGAAAGCTGTAAACTTAAATTGTAAATTTTATCTCTCCTCCTATCATTAAGTTAAGAAATCTAAAGAGTTGTGTTATCTGCAAGGTATCGTAATAACAGAAATTTCGGCACAAATACCTCTGCAGTCGCTCCTTGATCACACAATCACTTGCTTATACTAAACTGAAGAGGACAGCAACAAATTGCTTTCATTGAAAATATATTTATTGAATATATTTCAAATAATAATGAAATGTTGTTGCAATGGAACGGGGCAGAGTCATTACAATCAGAAGTTTCAGAAGAACATTTCAGTGATGAAAATTTGTTCTGTATTTCTGTAATTCCATTGCAAATGATTTATTCTTTGGACAATTCGACCAACATCATTTGGAAAACCCAGTTCCATCATCTATTAAATACTGTCACCCAATTAATTTTATTTTCCCTAAAGAATCGGCCAATTTAATTACAAGTCAACAAGATAAAGAATAAAAATATATCTCTTGTACCAACAACTATTGTTGTTGACAGTATGTAAATGAATAACTACAGTTTTGGTATTTTGAATTGTAGACGGCAAAGTATGTAATGCCGCGACAGGTTCTTCTTCTTAGATAGGTATCTGTGTGAGGGCAAAACCAAAGTGATATGAACAATTTAAACCTCTTATCAAGGAAAAGTTAACAGAGTTCCGTTCCTATGGTATACCACCCCTTCACTCATGGATTAGGCTATTTGAATGTACCTGCATATTTCTCATCACCTAGAAATTAAAACTTGGCAAGCAAGGGTTCCTGAAAATAAAGAAAAAGTTTTGAAGGAGAAATTTGTCCAGGATAGATTTAGAAATGAGTTAGGTATTTTAATCGACATGCTGATGCAGCAAAGTGGCAGTACGAATGATGGTAATTCTGCGTGCAAATTTTTTAGAAATTCCAAAAAGAAGCAGAAACAACTGGTGTGAATCTAGACTTGATCAGACGTTTGCGAACCATCCTTGAATGCATAAATTGTGTGGGGGGAAATTAATGCGGAGAAATTTGAAGAATTCACTAAAGTGATCCAAAACATTTACCTTCAAAACTAGTTTGTATTCAATGCTTGTGAGCCTTCACAAAATTGCTACTACTTGCTATTTCATTTAAGAATTTCTGTTTAATTTTGTATTTGAGGTTACAACATTTTTAAGTATTTATTTTCAATTAAACAGATGATTTGCCCAAATCATTACAAAAAATTACAGGTAAATAATTATAACTCAATAACTCACACTACAATTAAGTTCAGTTCGCATAATTACATCTATATATGCGATTACAGAAAACAAAAACGCAGACTAGAGTATTACAACAAAAATTACAAGAATACGAACATAAAGAAGATGCTAATTTTAAATACAGCTCACATCTGGCGAGAATATAGAAAATAAACAAAACGAGAATGAAGCACTATAATGAAAACTACAGGAATATTGACAAAACAAAGAATCATAAAAATATTAATTACTTAGTGTAAGAAATCATTCCAATTTAAAAAGTTTACACTTCACATCATTGCTGTATCATTTGACAAAAAAAATTTTAATTTAACTTATTGGCAGCTATACTTTCTGTTAATAGGGTTGTTAGCTGTGTATGAATGATTATAAAACTTCTGAGCAAAAATTTGTGGTCTCCTGCTATTGAAGTTGGGAACTTTAAAACACAATAAATTCAGCAAAAGTGAACAATCGATAGTACCACTTACAAGTTTTCGCAAAAATATCATATCAACGTAATCTCTCTAAGATTTCACTGACGGTATGTACCAACATAAAGCTATGATACTATAATCTTGGGTTTTAAAGAGATCCTGAACCCCAGCAAGGTATGCAGCAAGTTTAAAATACTGATGTTGGACTGTTTCAAAAACAAGGTGACCAAACAACAGAAGAGTACATAAGTACTGGTCTAATCAATATCAAATAAAGTGATCTTAATATTTGTAATAAGTGCAAATCATAGCATGTATGCTTAATAAAGCCTAACAACTGATTGGCATTATTAACTGTCATATGAAGATGGTCTTTAAAAGACATTTTGGTGTCAAAAACAACAGCAAGATTCTGTATAGTTGACACTCAATAATCATAGTGTTAATACTCGTAGTATAATCAACTTTGATCAAGGTTCAATCTCTACAGAATGTAACCGTTTTACATTTAGAAGGATTTAAATTAAGATTATTGTCTGTGCACCATTTGACAAATTTATTTAGTGATTCCTGTAACACAATTTTATCTTGGGGAGATTTAATGATCTTAAACATTTTTAGGTCATCAGCAAAATGAAAAAAAAAATTAACATCCCTTATAATATCACAAACATCATTTATAAAAATTAAAAACAATAGGGGAACCAGGTGGGAAAAGTAGCATTTCTAACAGACACATACTGTACATGACCCACCAAATAATGTCAAAACCACTGAAGTAGATATCCACATATTAAAAAACGTTGCAACATGCAGAGAAGAATGGAATGACTCACTGAATCTAAGGCCATATAAATACTATCGACTTGAAAATTATCCTCCATTCCATTGAGTATATATTGAGAGTAATATATGAGACTAGCCTCAATATTCCTTCCACTAATAAAACCAAACTGCCTCTCTGATAGAAGTGGACAGATCAAGTAATTCAATTCATCAACAATTATTGATTCAAATAGTTTAGGAATTGCATTCAGAATTATAATCGGTCCATAATTACAAATAGAACTCTTATAACCAAATTTAAAGATTGGTACAATATATGAAGATTTGCACTCCATTGAAAACAGACCTTCAAATAAGGATATATCAAATAAAACCTTCAGCAATTGGGAGAAGACTAATTTACATTTTTTTTAACAAAATTGTACAGATCCGATCAGTACCAGTTTTCTCTTTCATGCGAAGCTTTTCAATGTTTTTAAGTACATCACAAACACTCAAATCAATGGATTTCAAAACATAGGGAGATCTATCAATACAATTTATATCATCTACTTGACTTGAGTGATGAATATAAAAGGTGGAGAAATAACTGGCAAATCCATTTACAATAGATTGAGTATTTGCATAAACAACTGAACCCATCCTCATGAAGTCGGGCGGAGAAGAGCGGGGACGGGTGGATTGAGGCGGGCGATGGAAGGGCTCTCAGATTAAATCTGACCTGCTCAAAAACGGCTATTCAGATTACATCTGTCCTCCGCAAAAAATGGGAGTTTTCAGATCATGTATCATTTTTCTTGTACACTGAAGACATACAATACATAGAAATGCATTGATGTAATAAATTTAATAAAGACAGTTTTAGGTCAGAGAAATAGTGTTTAATATCAATTGTTATCATCTCCCCTCTCTAATCCTTTATACAGTTTATGCACTTATTTCATTCACATTTCTAGGACTGTATATTTTTTATTATCTGTCCTGACACATGGGGTTTGGTTTTCTAAACTATTCTGGGGATGTGGCAATTAAAAAATTGGCAAGAGGTACAACACATTAAGGTGGTGACTGGCTAAAACACTAGGTACAGTCTCAAGTAGAATGCACTTTTGTCTTGACAAGTTATTTTCTGCGCTTTCTTTAAACATTTTCTGCACCTTATACTTTTCAAGGTTTCCCAGTTTCTCCAGAAACATGTTGACCAGCTCTTACAGCTTGAGCAAACATACTTTTAAAGTACATTAACATGATTTTTTTCTCAAAATAAAACTAAGATGTGAGAAGAAATGAAGAGGTTGGAGAATATAACCTTAAGTCTGTATATCCACAGTTATGATTTTAGAAAACAAAAGATTACAATCCAAATACTGTTCAAATGTGTTCATAGAACTATAATAGGTATACAGAAAGCAGCAAGAAGTAAGGTATGTCTGGGCTTACAAAAATTACAGAAAGGAGGGTTATTGCCATATTGCTCGGACACCTTGAATTTCAACCATTGAAACATATATTAATGCTTGTTTCACCATCTCCAACTTGACTTTTAAGTCAAGTTGGAGATGCAAAATGCAAAAATCTTTCAAGTCGTTTAGGATACGATTTGTACACAAAGACAATAAATACAAAATATAAAAATCAGTAGATCAATAGTAGATCAATAGTAGAGAAATGAGTCAGGGATGTTTGATATCTCTTACATGAAACGCAGTGAATATGTTTTATTTAGTCTACAATCCAATTACACTGAAAAGATACAAGTGAATATGAAAACCCACAACTCAATGTTTCTAATTGTATCATTGATTATTTTATTTTCTGCCATACATTTTCTCAGATCATCTGAAAATTGTTAGTCTTACTCTGCACACTATTGACCTCTGAGCAATAACAAGGCGATAAAACAATAGTTAGTGTTATGTAGTAATATGGTAGATGGTGGAAAAATGACCATGACATAAGATACATGATGGTTAGATCTCACCCTTCACTCTAAAAATTAATAGGTGAAAATATACATATAATTAAATTAATATCCGACCTTGAGAGTTTCTTCTCTGTTGGCCAGTGTTAACCATAGTCCATTCTTGATCGTTTGTGTCTGAATCAACTGACACTTCTGATGGCTTCCATTCAATGCACATCTCACATTTCTATGAAAGAAAACACCATGCAAATACAATAAATTTAAAACTTTCATTTAGAAATTTGAAACAAAATTTAAAAGAAAAATCTTTTTTCTAGAAAACAAAAAAATTGTCTCATCCGACACCCCAATGTTGTACCTCATCTCAAACAAACGTGTATTTACAGTTTAAAAAGTATGTTAATTTCAATGCAAAACAACACATAGCTTAATTATTAAAATTGAAAGTAGACATAAGAAGAAGCTTACACTAAGCATGTGCCACTGGAAAAATTTATGAAGATTCCATAAGTCTCTCTCCTCAAAAACTATATTAACATATTAACAGTCTCCATTTTCAATTAAGCAAAATTGGAAAATAAAATTTATTTTCCCTCAGACAAAAGAAAATATTAGATGAACACTGATGCTGTAATTTCAAGTAGACCCAATTTCACTTGTTAAAACACAAATTTTAATCAGAGTATCAAAGACATTGGCTCAATTGCAGCATAGTACTTTGCAACATTATTTCAGACAAACTACATTTTTCTCAACAGTTGGTCACAACACCATGAATACAAAACAAAAGGGCCAAGGGGTCAACACCCTCTAATCACTGAAATGCTCTGTATTACATATTTTAAAAACCATAAACAGAAAAATCAAATACATCTACTTCGAGAAAAGAAACTCTACATGAAAAAATTCAAGAAATCATTCAATGTCAATCAAGAGGAATTTTCAACATACATACAATTAATGTTTCTTTCATACATATTACACATTTACACATGTATCTCACATAATACACAAATGATGTAAACTCTATTAAAATGCAAAAATCTGACGAGTTATAACTCTTGACAATAAATTATCTATTTTAACATATTATACACTAATATTTCAAAAGAGGTAAGGTGGATTCCAAACCATCTTCTCCACTCCATTTTTAATTAATTTCATTCACCTCTAGCATAATTAATAACCTTTCAATGCATAATAGTTTTACTTTTGGCAAACATTCTTAATGGAATGCTTTCAATAAACAATTTATAATAATTTGATAATCTCAACCATGATAGCAGATATTAAATCAGCAATATCCAACATCATTCTCCTCCACAAATGACTTTTGAGACTTCAATATATTTAATAAAATTAATGTAAAAGTACCTACTCATATTTACAGTACCTAAAAGAAAGCATCTTGCAAAAATATGAAAAAACAGCAAATTCTATCAATATCACTTACATAGTCAATAATACTCAAGGTTCCAGAATGATCATCATCTTTATGACCACCGTAACTTTTCCACAATACTCCATGGTGACTATACACTTCCTGAAAAAATAATTCACAATGTATCTTCAAACTTCTCAACTTTCATTTTGTCACAATACCATTTCAACCAAATTTGCTTTCCTTCTTTTGGAAACTAAATCAGTTAACAAAGAAAGGAAAGAAAATTCAAATTTTCTAAGTATCGAAATAAAAACACTGACTTTCCAATACATTTTATAATCAAAGCACAATTTTCCCCTTGCATAGATCACTGCTTCAATTTTACTTAACACAAATATTCAGAAAAACAATGTGTCCAATAGCCTAAATCCTGGCATCAATAAACACATTTACAGTTGCTTCCATAACTTATTAATTTTATTATCATATTAAATTTCAAGTTTAATTAATTCATTAACTCAAAAAGTCACAAATATATCAAATTAAACAAGGATATTTTTAATAAGATTATCTTCAAATAGGTGTTTATTTTAAAATAATTCATCTAAGTATTTAATATACTTTAAAGCAGACATACTTCTCCATTTTCTTTAACACCATTCATCTTGAAGGTTAATAATTTCTTTCACAGTTCTTCAAATGATGTTAAGAAACAATACAATTTTCTATTCGCTCTGTTGCATGTGTTTCACTCATAAAATTATCGGACGATACTAGTCCCATAATTGACAAACGTCAAGAAAAACAAATGTCATTTCATTTCGGGCAAACTCATGTTCATTTCCGCATTAAAACCTTTCGTTGTGATATTCATCTGCGCATATTATTTTATACACCCACACTGAAGCACAGTCAGCATCAGCTGTTGCTGTTGAGCATTTAACTACGTATCAGTTCAATTGACAGTGACCAATATTCCTCAATTTTGGTAAATGACAGAAGGCTGATTGTAACTTCTCTTATTTCACACAAAGATTCACGAAACAAGGTTCGAAAAGTTGCAGTCTGCACCGACAGTAAGCTCAAATACTCTAACCAAATGACTCAAGTCCAGCTCAAGTCAAAAGACAGATCGCCACCATCGAATATTACGTAAACAACTATAGACAGAGCGTCATCCAATGTAGCAATGTAATTTCTCAAGATTTACTACATATACAGTACATTGGGAGAAATATAGACATATTCAGAAGCGTTTTAAATTAATCTGCATTACCGATAAAATTTTTCGAATGACTGGCCTCAGTAAATTTAGTAGGTCATATACTAAGATCAGTCATTTGTCATTAGAATTCTATCTTAATTAGCGTTAGAAATAATTAAAACAAAAACGACAAAAATATATGAGAAAAGAAGAAATCAAATCCGAAATCTATTTAACTAATTCTTTGATAAACTGATAACAACTTTTTCACATTTCTTAAGGCCGTATGATCGACGGATCTTATTGCCATGGCCATAATCAATAAAATAATATATTAAATTCGTAATAACAATTTTGCCTAAAGTATACTGCGATTTTCACAACTCTGCCCCCGAGGGGTTGTATATAGCCGTTGACAGTTTCGTCTAATCGGGAACACGAACGACAACCATGTGACTTCACTTGGGAGACGTTTAAGCTCCCAATTGGATGAAACCGTCAACAGCTAAACCTGCCAGGGGCAGAATTGCATAAATTGCAGTATACAATTGTAGCATAGAAATTTCCAGAATGACGTCACAACGTTTGGCGGTAAAGCTTTCGGTAGCTACTTCCGCTGTGAGCGTTAAGGATTCCTAGAGAATTACAATGTTTGGATGTATTATGCGGATGCCGAAGTGTGTGTATCTTGTCACATTTGTTATTTACAATGTGTTTCGTCGACAAATTGTATTTAAAAAAAAATATTTTATCAACCCTCGTCAAGTCGCTACCTTTTCTTTTTGAAAACGGTTCTAAGTAAATATTATCATGACCTTAACGATGATGGTAAGGTGCTGCTTTATAATGAATGAAATGTGTGAAACTTTTGGTTCCACGTTCCCATTCATCGATTGTGAAAAGTGCCAACAAATTTCCAGACCCTGTGCTATTAACGTAGAAGTGACTCCTTCCGTATAAATTTATAAACTGTCGGCTTTTTAAATATTTACTGAAGAAATTTGTATTAATTATTATCATTGAGAGAAATATTACATACATTAAACATTAATAATCGTTTGAAAAAATCCAGAATGTCCATAACCACAGTCCCAAAAATGCTCGTAATTTTTCACGCAGTGGAGGAACTTTCAACACAAAGTTCGCCAGAATGTAATATAATTTAACTATTAATTTTTTAATGTATTGTAATAAATATATGGCTATTTGAATATATCAATAAATATTGCATTTTTTATCATAGAAATTTTTAAAATAAAAAATATATGCAGTTTCTTGTGTGATTTGAAATTTGGATGGTTGAATTTAAATATTGAAGTCGAGTGCTTAAATTTTTACTTATTATCCCCTATGGTTTTAATGTTAACATTTTTTATAAAACGTATTTTCATTATATTTTGCTTGGCAATATTTGATTAACATTTGATGCCGTTTCTTGCAATACAATTGAGACACGATTCTGCCCTGGTGGCAGAAAGAATCAGTTGATTTGGTGGCGTACGAGGGTTACCTTTTATATTTCAGGATTAAAGAACAAAAACAAATATTAATCATCGACAATCACTTTATTGTTTTTCAAAATATTCCCCATAACGATTTATACACTTTTGCATGCGTTTCAACCAATTGCCGAAGCACTTTTGCCACAATACCACTGATTGAGGTATCTCCAAAACATGCATTCTGAA